CCGCGCCAGCCGAGGCGAAGGAAGGCAAGGCCAGGCAGGCGGCCAAAAACGAATCACCCGAGTCATGTCCGGCAAGACAACACGAGGAGAGGCGCTCTGGCTGCTCTCCTCGAGTGAAAGGAGAAGGAGGAGCCCATTCTCTCTCTCTGTCTGTCTCTCTCGCTCACACCTCCTGTCCGGGACAAGCCGCCGCCGCCGCCCAAGTGTGCACCGCGAGGGGCGGCCGGCCGAGGACGAGGATGTCACCGCGCCAGATGACCAGCGCGAGTGGACCCGGGCCGGACCAGGACGGGCTTTCTCATGACTGCCGGCCGCTGCTTCTTTATCTTGTTGCGGCGTGGCTTATCTGCCGGAGGACTTGCTCATGCCCGGCCGAGCTCCCGCCGCGCCCCGCCCCGCCCCGCCCCGCCCCGCCCCGCGAGCAGAACTGGGTCAGCAGGCGCAAGCAGCAAAAGCTTTATGGACACCCATATCGGACGTGGTCCGGCCGGCACGGCACACACCAGACGGAGGATGACAGGGCGTGGAATACGCGCGTGCGTGCGTGCGTGCGTGTGCGTGGACCTGTCGGCTGCAAGTGGTTTAGGGTGAGAGCGAACGAAAAGAAATAACGCAAAATAAAAACAGGAAAAGAAAAGAAAGGTGTGAGTTCGAAACCGGCAATAATTGTACGACAGGAACACGTGTCTTCTTCTGCAGCACAAAATTATGGCCGATAAGCCCCTGATTATTTCACTCCCCGCTGAAACGACTAGAAACAACTGCGCGACGATCCATGTCCATGATGAAACAATTAAACAAAACGCTCCACTTTATGGGTCGCCGCAACCGTTGCCGACCCGCCGGGGCCGGACTCGTTCGGCATCCCCTTTTACTTTTCGAAAGGGAAGTGATTACCTGCGGCTGATATTTCGGACCCGGTCGTGCGGACCGGCGTCGTCGCGGATCGGGGCGTGACTCGGCAGTCTGAGGAGTGGCGTGGAGTGGCCGGCCCGACTGGACAGTGGAGAGCGCAAGGGA